GGGGGGGGGGGCGCGTACCCCTCGTCCTGAATATCGCACTGCAGCCCGATCCACATAACCCCAGCGTGGCCAATACCTCGCGGACCGAATTTCTTCGGATAGCAAGCTGTTAAGCAGACAAGCGCATCATATATAGTGAGAGTGTAGAAGCCGAGGCGGGATAATCTCTCATTGTCAGTTTCAGTTTTCCCGTCTCAGTCTCGGCTCTGAAAAACCCACCCATTGGCGTAGCAGTCGCTTTGTAGGGCGCCACCACCCTGACCGTAGCCATAACCCTTCGGTCCGAATCTCTTTCCGTAGCATACTGCAGAGAACATGTGTTAAAGGTATCTGCTCGTTCTTGACCTAGTTGCCTGACACGTCCCCAGCGTGCAACGTACACGTGGATGTGTTCCGCGTATATATCCATCTTCCCTTGGCGTTCGCCGATTTTATAAATCGATTCGTTATCTCATCTATTCGGTCTACCGACTTTCAATTTACGTTTTAATTGACGCTCACACGCGTTGTTGGAGTATCGAGTGCCGCGGAATGATTCACCAGCCGATAATGCCATTGGAAACGACGAGCGGCAAATTACAGCGTAATATAAATTATTATCGATTTCCCGATATTCCGATCGAGGGAAAGATGGAATCTCTCTTTGCTGAGGATTCCATCATAAAATAGACCAGATTCGAGACGAAAATTCGCCGTTCCAACGCGGTAATTTACTAATTGATAATATTATTGAAACGACGACGTGAAAAATTACACGTTATAAATTATTATTAATCCCGATATCAGGGAACTTATAGAGATTCCGATATACTAGGACGAAAAGTGGATTAACTAGTCTAGTTTCTAATTCAAATAACAATTCCCAGCGATTTCTCAACTATTATTAATTCCGATACTCGGGGGGGGGGGGATTTGTAGAGGCACGGATGTAGGTTAAGGAGACGTGTGCCTCTCCGTAGTTTAGTTTCCTAGAGAAATAATAATTCGGAGAATCTCAAATCGAATTCTGAATAATCCTTCTATTTCCAGCTGGATTTCCTAATCGGCGCCGTTAGCATTTATTTTGGAGATTGGATCTTTGTCTGAACACATCCAGAGTACCTCGTACCTGCGGATGTGTTACACAAGAGTGTAATGTGTCCTCACCTTTGCAGTAGATGTCCTTGTCAGGACCTTCGCAGCAGTTGACCGAGTCTAATCTCTTGGAGCAGTTGGCACATTTAAAGCATTCCTTGTGCCATTGCTGCGTGAGACACAAAGGGACGCAGTGGTTAGTCACCGAAACTGAGGGGAGAGGCGGTTGTGACGTGTTTTACGTTCTTCTGTTACACATAGTTATTCCCAATTTTTGCAATCGGTTTTTTTTTTCTTTCTTTTTTTTTTTTTCGTTGGAAAAGCTTAGTGCTCTGTTTCGTGTCGAAACAGAGACTGTGAGACGTTCTGATGTTGTTACTTTCCAACTAACGTTTCCTCGGATTCGTCATTTG